GTTCGTCCTAATTCACAAAACTCACAAAGTTACCGAAATACCCCCACGACTCACCCCGTTTCCCCTACCCGACTCTACCCCCAGGTACCCACGTATCCCCACCCTAGCATCCCTACTATTATTCTACCATTTTTCCGTATTTTTATCGGCCACCGTTCTATCCCTATTCACCCTACGATCATCCCTGCCCATATTCCCCATTTTATCCATAAATAACCCAGCCCGTTTCACTATATACGCCCTACCTACCCGCCCTACCCATTCCCCAGCACCCCTACCCCATCCCCTACCCCCTACCCTACCCCTAGGACCACCCCCGTACGCCCTACCCCATCACCCTGGGCCACCCGGCCACCCAGAATCACCCCCCGGCCGCCCCAGTAGCCAGCCCAGTACTGGCATTTATAATTCTTGGGCCAGAGGAACCTTTGTAAAGGATCCTATCCTTACTAGCAGTACCTTTATAAATGGCTTACATCTACGCCTGTTCCTCAGTGATTATGGGTGTTTTCGAACCCTCTGAACATGCTGGTGATGTCCGTTTGTCAATGCATAGCTTCATTCTTCCAGTACGTCGACTTCTTCTCCCCCTCCCCCAAACATTGTTCAACTCCCCATATTTTTTCTAGCCACACCATTTTCATTTTATCGGTGATTCTGGGGGTTTTCCAACCCTCGGAACACGCCCGCATTGTCCCTTTGTCAATGCACCAGAGCATGTAGTGCCATTATAATGAAGTGCGGCAAGGACGTCGAGCTCCATTGTAATGTCTGGCGTAAAGTACGCACTGCCACAAAATGGCTGCCATTACAATGCTGCACCGGCCCAATTGGGATATCAACAAATGCCTGCATTGCTTGTTTTTGTTTTCTGTGATAAATGCCGGGTTCAGAATGTCCCAAAAAGGATAAAAATGGGTAGGTTGCTTTGTGCTCGGAGGTGTGGCACAAGAATGTTCGTTCTAGATGTGACCCGACCTGTAGTACTCTGGCCCGGCGGGTTAGCTGGCTTTTGGGTGACCGGGTGGGCTCTAGGGGCGGGTTGGGAACCCGGTAGGGGTTGCTGGGACCAGGATGGGGTGCTGGGGTGCTGGATAGGGGTAGGAAAATGGGTAGGGGGTGGGGGTAGATGGGTAGCAGGCTGGTAGGGCGCTGTATACATGGATTGGGTGGGTTTTGGCTGGATTCTGGGTACTGGGGACGATACTGGGTGTACTGGGGCAGTATTAGGTGCGATACAAATTGGGGAAAATAGGGAAATAATAGTATAGATGCTAGGGTAGGCCTAGCAGGTGCTGGTTTCTGGTTTGTTAACGGGTTAGGGGGTGTTTTGGTAACTTTGCGAGTTTTGTGATTTAGGACGAATGAATTGCATTGCTGGGTGTCATTTCAATGGAATTAGCATATAAAACATAAATTGGCGATGTGATTTCGCCAACATGAAGGAGCCCGATTTCGGGTGTTCTGACTATTTGAAAAACATTTATAAATATATAGGACGATTAAAATCAATTTTTGCAGGAATCGGTCCATTTGTTCCAAAGTTATAGCGTAAACGGTTAGAAAGATATTGCCACAGCGAGGTCAAAGGGGGTCGGGAGGCCAGAACTTCTGATATAACGGTTCGATTCACTTGGTTTTTGCTGTTGCAGATAGGTGGACATCAATACTTAATTATTAGTATCACTCGGGGCACAAAAACAGCGACCATGTCATTGGTAGCGGTGCAGCGTCTAGGGGGGGTGTTACGACCGGGCTTAAGCTAGGCTTAAGGGCGGCGTCGGTTTCGTGAAGCGGGGAATGATCGAGTCGTTCGGCGCCGTCGGCTTGGGCGATCAGCGAGGGGCTTCGGAGGTTCCGGATCCGGGGTTCTGGCTCGGTTCGTCTAGACGCGGCGTCCGGTCTAGGATCGAGTTCGTTCAGATGAGGTGTCCTCTTCTGAGGCAGGCGTCCTGCTAGAGCTGATGTGGATTCGAGGTTCTGATGGTAAAGCTCTTCAGTAGTCGAGATTCGAGGGGTATCGTCTTGAGGTCGCACAAGACGATATCGAGAATTCTGGTGAATTCAACTGAAACACTGTAGGTACAATACAAGTGAACAGGTTGGAGAATCTCGACTACAAAGGTCCGATATTTATACTAATACAAGTCCGTGTGAATCGCCACGTCATCTAGGTCCGCCACATCAGCCTAAGAGTTCGTCTGCTCCGCCGAGCCAGAGTCAAGCCACGCCAAGATAGTCTGTGTCAGACAGAAGTAACGTGTCCGCAGTCCTCCTACGTGTCCAGTCAACTATCGTATGTGTCCGAGGTAAGTATACGTGTCCATAAGAGAAAGAGATATG